AGAATTTTTCCTTTTGATTCGAAAGTTCCGGTGGATTAGTCTCGAAACTGTTGAGATATGCTTCCTTAGTTAACCAAAATTAGTTCAACTTTTAGCCAGCAACAAAATCCTCAGCGCAGCAGTCCCAACAGTCAGCCTGAAGATCCTGAAAGTGGAAGGGATGGATTCAGGTGCTTTCATTTTTGCTTTTGAGTAGTATTGAAATGCAAAAGTGTACAGTTTTCGAAAGTAAAGTTTTCAGGCGAGATGTCACCCGTTCGAGCTCTGAATTCCAGCGCCTGTCTGGTGATTTTCGAAGACAAGGGAGCGGAGAGTTTGGCCGTTCTACTGACAGTTTCTCTCGTGTGTCTAACGGCGACAATGCTAGATCTGAAGCATATTACCGAGGTAGCGCTGCGGACAGCGAAGTGTTCAACCGAAGCAGTGAAGCTGCACGGATGACTGAGCGGACTCCTCTCTACGGAGGGCCTCCACCTTGGTGGGGTCGTCATCAAGATGAGCACGGCGATTCTCTTACCGATGTTGAAAGGTGTTGTTTATGGTTACTCTATATAGGGCACCTCTTATAGTTTTCTCTATTACAGTCCTCGTGCTCACCCACGGTCATCGCCGCCTACTTCTGCATTGTCAGAATCAGATTTAACGCGCACTCGACAGCTTCCAGCCAAGGCCGTTAGAATGGACATAGATTTAAGTAAAGTAGGCGAAGATGAAGCACCAAGACCAAAACGTTAGTTATTCGAGGTCACTTGCCGTTCTTTGAGTATATTCCTATGTATGCTTCGGGTTCCTTGTGTAGTGCATTTTACCGTTGTGATTCCCGCTTTTGTGATGTGAGTACGTCCGTGTTTAGCGACCACGTCCCGATCTGTTCGCATGGATATCGATCTCAGCAAATTACCAGATGAAACAAAAACGACTGAGAAGAAAGGTAGGATTTGTATGTGTACTGAACCACCCAGGACCTTTATCATGATGACGTTCGTACTTTCTGCCGTCCATTTGTGCACAATTCCTACTTGTTTACACAGCCTGATGCCCGTTATTCATACGTATGACCATACCTCGTTTGTTCGTCGTAATCAATTTATCCATATAGATAGAGAAGAAAGGGACGTTGTTATCCATTGTGGAGTGAGTGTCGTCGGGCCAATACAGGGAAAGGTGTAGTGGAATAGGTTAGGCAAGACAGGCGAAGTTTGTTAGCGAAGTGGTTTGTTAATGCACGAAATATAAGAAAAAAGTCGATTAGGCATGAAAATTTAAACTGTACCAAACGATGTGAAATTACTTTTTTGTAGTGATTTCGAGAAAATTTTCATTATTATTACTTTTTGCGATCGAACGAATGTATTGCGAAAAAGTGATTCCAATAAATTAGCCACGTCACAGTAATGGTCAGTCATCCGATCGTACCGATCGTTACGATCGGACGACCGACAATGAAAGCACCCTTGAAGCAGACTCTGGATCTGGTGGCATGTCCTTGGATGTCCGATTTCGAAGAAAATCGATCACAGATGGAAGTTTTCAAAATTAATGATTCTGTTATTGGGTTTTTGTATTCGGTGGTATTAGGACAATTCTCTTTTCTTGCGACTCATTGACCTTGCTTCGCAACATTTTCTTTAAAGCAGTTGTTGTGCTTAATCCATTTTCAAAACTGGAGGAGTTCTTGCAGTAATTCTCATCCCATAGATCTATCGCGACTGAATTGGATATAAATATGTAGAAATTGAACGAAATCGCAGCTTTTCTTTCCTATGAGCGTATGCTAATGAATCAGTTGAGTGCAAAAAATGATGAAAAACAAATGAGGAGGAGAGTAATAAGAAAATTCATGCTCATTTAGCAGTCGAGTTTTCGAAGTAAATGAGCTGCCAATTGAAACGATGTTTTTTACAGCGCCATCACGAGCTGCAGCCACGGCATTCACCGTCAATTTTGATTCGGCA